GAGACTACCTTAAATGCCCCTCCCTGATAATGAATTTTACTTCTTCCTTATATGCCATCCTAGATCCTTCAACCAATGACTAATGGAAGCAGAGGCAGACACCCACAGCTAAACACTGAACTGAACTCCTGGAACCCAGTGACAGAGAGGGAGGACTGATGAGCAAAACGGTCAAGACTGGGCTTATTTAAATTTCCTAATTCTTAAATAAGTAGACTATATTGAAATTATAATAAAATCCAACTTTACCAACATGCCCAACTAAATTTAAATTCTGTAATGTTTAAAGTAAACCTCTAAGAGACTTTGGGCTAACTAAGGGCAATGTTGGTATGTAGGAACATGTCTCCAGAACCAATACAAGAAGAAGGAGGAGGAGAAAATAGAAGTAAAATAAATACCAATAGAAAAAATGTCCACTTTAGTGTAATTTTTAACCTTTGAACTTTTATTATAGCAGCATACCTTATCTTTGTTTTTTAATTTTTTTAATTTAGGTTAGAAACAATCTTCTTTCCCATGTCAATCCCAGCTCCCTCTCCCTCCCTTCCTCCCCTGCTCTGCCCACCAGGGCCCCCAGAGGCCCCTAATTTTAAGACCGATCATCATTCAATTTCAAAATAACTTAGGTGAATTAATAATATGAAGAGTAAAATCTTAGTTAACTTGGAAATTGGTGTCTCAAGACTTCAAGCCACTATGTTGCCTATGCCAAGCAAAAGAATAATGCAGAAAAACTGTCAGTAAGAGAAAAAATAGTAGCACTGGGTTTAACTATGCTGTGAAATGGTTAACGGTAAAATTAAATCTTTTGAAAGTACAAAAACAGAAAATTCTGTTCAAAGCATCCTGAGTATACAGTAGTGTCGGAAGGTACAGAAAGTCTTAAAAACACATCTGAAAACTTGCTTTTTCCTTAAAGTCAAATAAACCACAGCACAATTACTTTTGGATAATAATTGAGATTTTTAAATACATGAATGAAGTTAAGCATAACTAGACAGATGCAGGCAACTAGAACTCATCTGATTCAAATGATCATAATATTGGACTTACCGTTCTTTTGAATTGTCCAACCATTGGCCATTTGTCAAAAAAAAATGAGTCTTTATCAGCCCAAGCTATTATTGACAAAGAATTGTTAAAGGTTTACTTCTACTGGATCTTCAATGTTCCAAAACAGTTCTTCATTAATGTACTTTTTACATTATTTCAAACGTTGTCTTTTTCACTAAACCCTTAACCCCTTCTCATCTATCTTGAAGTGCAGAGATGAGCTACCAAGCTATCACAAAGTAAACAACCAATTAGGCTAGCAAGAGCTGAACTTCCTCTGGGACCCTGAACAACCGCTTCTAGCTGTACATTCTGTCCTTGTACAGGAAGTGAAAGCACTTCTCCACAGGGGGCAAACATGATCACCTTCGGGCATCTCCCCTGCGAGTTTGTGGCTCTGACCTTAACCCTCATTTTCAGTCACTCTTTCACTACATCTCTTTAGCATATAAATACAAGCATTTCTGTAAAACATAGCCACTGAGCAAGCACTGCTTATGTGGCCCCAACTCTTTTCTACCCTTCATTGTCAGAGTTGATATTATCTTTTCACACCCTACTCCATTCTACAGCAGAAACAGTTTCCCAACACTTATTTGTACATCCATGCTTGCCTGACAAATGGACCAAACTTAGTGTCTGTGTTATTGATTTCGCATCAACATTTGTATAAGTGATTCTGCTCTCATCCCCTGGCTGACAAAAGAGCACCGTTAGGAAAAATTTGCTCCAAAACTCAAGCATCTATGGAAAACAACTCCTAGGAAAATCAAAGTTGGCAATCTCCTGACTAGCTATTAATTTCTTTGATAAGGCAAAATGCTGGTACAGATTTTCAAATTCTGTCCAACAGTGTCTTAACAACCCACTGTGCCAGTAACTATCTCCTTTATTCTGTTATCACCAAGCACACATTTATTATCCCTTCATAGGAAGAAAAGTAATCCAAAGGAAGAAGTGGGTAGTCACCACACTCAAGAGTCATAGGAGTCTGAAATCCAGAAAGGGTTCAAGAACTCAGGGGAGATGAGGAGGGATAATCTGATGCCTAATTCTTGACTGCAATAGGAAGGAAAAGTAAAACATGAAAAGAACATATTTATTTAGTTAAATATACAACCAATACCATTGAAATGTCATGCATATGTTTGGTCCTATTGAAAACAAAACAAACTACACATGATTGTAGGGGAACATTTTTCATAACAGTAAAAAGAAGTAAAAGATACTTTTATATCAACTATATGGAATACACATTATATTTCTAAATACAATCAAGATTCCTAAGGGGCCGGGCGTTGGTGGCGCACGCCTTTAATCCCAGCACTCGGGAGGCAGAGTCAGGCGGATCTCTGTGAGTTCGAGACCAGCCTGGACTACCAAGCGAGTTCCAGGACAGCCTCCAAAGCCACAGAGAAACCCTGTCTCAAAAAAAAAAAAAAGATTCCTAAGGAAGTAAATGCAATAGTCAAGGACAATATAATAGAGATAATTTCATATATGAAATCCTAGTTTATTTTACAGATCATTTTAAAAATAATTTAATATTGCTCATTTAGTAAATTTAACACTTGATTTTGATTTGTACATTTCAAACTTTAAAATGATGTATTAAAATTATTTTTCCAAAAGAAATTTATAGTTCAAATTCATGATCTTCAAAATTGAGGTACAGTAAATAATATTTTCATGGGATGACACTTTTAGTTGCAGCAATAAAGATGTCTTTTAAGTAGATACTCAAGCTGACACACTCAGGTCACTAGTATGTTCTCAGAATGTAGAATACTAGTATATTTAGAAAAGAGAAAATATAAAATTTCAAGGCATTTTTAATTTGATAAACAGAAAATAAATTAAAATGATAAATAAAGACATATAAATGTTCAAAAGAAAGATGCAAACAGTGATAGATGCTTCATTAATTCCAGCTGTGCTTTTAATCCCATCCATCTGTACTTCCCTTCATGATTGTTCAACCTCCAATTCAGATGAATCTTCTCTGTTTGTTTGTGAAATTACCCCAATGTCCTCTTTTAAAAAGAAGCAAACCAGACAGGAGTCTTCCAATCCCAGATAACCCAGCCACTGCCTTCTCTCCAAGTTTATATTGAGATGTCTAAAGAAATGTTTTCTTTTCTCAAACTCACTAACCAAACCAACCTGCAACACTGGTTTCTATACCATTATATGGTAAAATAGCTTCTAGATTCATTAGCTATGTTTTCTTATTTTGTTTGGGAGGAAGCAATGAGTAATATAATTCCCCATTTGAATTAACTATACAATGAAATTCTACTAAGTAAGCACCTGGCATTCTCCTTGAATGTTCTTTTCCCTGTTGTTCATGGCATAACTCTTTCTTTGTCTACCAGCACTTGAGTCCTCTTTCTTTTCTTGGCAGGCTAACTTTCTTCCCCACATCATTAAATGTTCTTCAAGATTTGGCCCTCTGCCTTCCTTTACTCTAATTCCCTGCTGTGATTGAGTAATTTCATCCAAACCCATGGTTTCAATTACAAACATTCATAGCCCTACACAAGACCTCTGAGCTCAACTGCTAACTTAAATCCCTACTTTGATATATGTAACAGAGGCATAACAAATATGATATGTTGCGCTGGGGTGCCATTTATGGAAGATTGCTTGTCTGTCATTCTTAGGGTCCTTATTTATTGCCTAATCTCCATACAAACACTCAAATAATATGTTCAAAATGAGTTCACACTTCTCTCCTATTGGTGTCTGTTCCTCAGTTTCCCTTTTATGCTTGATGATATCAGTTGTACAAATCAGAAACTTACATGCTTTCCTTCTTCCTTATTATTTAGTTTGTCATCAGGTTCATTTAGTATTTAAGCATATCAAGACAATACTTTCCATTTATATCTATCACATTCTTAACCAAAATGCACCATACCCTTCCTGGTTTACTGAAACAAACTGCTGACTGGCCTTCCTCTATCTCTTCTCTATATCTTTAAACTTATTCACATAAGTTACACCTATAATTATGTTGGGGTTTCTATGGTCTATGAACTAAAAATAAAACTAAAAGTTTCCATAAAATAAATTTATTTAAATATACAAAGAGAACATGTTTTGTGAAACAAAAAAAGGTGTTTGAAACTGATGTTTCAGTGCTCATAAATAACAATAATACACATGCTTGCTTTCAGGTATGCATTGTTGCATTTCTGCTACAGGAGGAGAGTTGAATAAAAGTGAACTCATCAGTTCAAACCTTGAATCTCAGGCATCCAGTTGTCAATAACTTATTCTTAGTTCCTACATCTCTTCCTTATAATCAGAAAATAAGAAAGTAGAATGGACGACACACTTGGAAGTAATTGAACTATTTTGTTGTTCAAATTTTTTGAAAAAAATACTTATTACACAATGGCTCTGTAGTTATAAGAATCTGATATATGAAGAGAACACAGACTAAGCTCTGATCACATTAACTTAATTGGAAAATCATTGTCAGAAAAGGTAGAATATGTTTGTTGAAATATTTCATGATGGCAGATTTTATTCAATAAAAGAAATAAAAATGAGAATATAACCAAAACAGGATTTCTGAAGGACTCACTTGTTACACAAGAAGGAAGAATCTTTTACTCATTGATTTCTTATATCTCCATCCTATCTTAATTTTTCAAGAAATGTCCTTAAGAGTTATTTTCCTAATTTAATGTGTATTCTTTCTAACATCATTAATGTAAGTGAAAAAATTCTACCTATCCAATGTATTTTCAATCTATTTTATTGAGTATTGTGTATTTTCTTACACATGTATACTGGCATATTTTTGTATATTTGTGTATACTACATCCTTTATCTAATAATATTAACAAAAATTTCCATATTGAAAAGTATGTTTTATCTCCTTTACTGTAGATTTCTATTGAAACTAAACAACAGGAAAAAAATAAGAATCATACCTGAACCTGAAGAAAAGAGGGGGTCAGCAGTACAGTCTGGAGGTTCTGGAACATCGATTATATTAACAGTCAAAACATGTCTCATGATTCCTCCAGTATCAACTATAAATAGAAACTTGGTTGGATCCGTTTCATAATTAAAGATTTTTGTAGCTGTGATGACGCCAGAATCTAACCAAGAGACAATTAAAATCAGAAATAGTCTATCAGTCTAGCTTTTTAGATACATAATTATCTTTCTATCTATAAAAATATACCTGAAATGTCTAGAAATGTGTTAGGATTCAAAATTGGAATTGCTATATAAATAAATTAAATTGGAAGTGGCATAATCTATCCAAAGTTGCACATTAACTCATGCACAAAATAGATTACCTGTGAAGAAAAAATACAGGCAAGTTGACATAAATGATAGACACTTTTGTTCTAATAAACTATGCCTTTCCTAAAATATTTTTATTGAAAATCATTTATGAGATCACAAAGGCTATCAGTGACAGAGATTTCATTCACTCATAGTGATTTGATATAAACAAAAAAGGATATTGTTTATATTGATCCCCACTAGTTATGATAAGTTGACCCTAAAATAATGACATAAGGTCTATTATATGTTTGATAGTATATGGGGGGGGCAGTGACATATACATGATTATTGGGATATGTTACATGAGGTTAATGATGATGTCTTCCTAGATCACTTACCACCTTTTAATGGGACAGGATCTCTCACTATTTGAGTTAACTGCCTGGATACCCTGGTTGGCCAACAAGCACCATGGATCTCCCTGTCTTTGTCCCTTCCAATATGCATTTTATTGCAAGCAACCATTGCTATGCCCAGCTTTTACATGGGTGGTAGGTATTTGATCTCAAAATATTCACGTTTGTATGGCAAGTGATTTATCAACAGAGTCACCTCTCTAGCCCCTGTGGTTTGTGTTTTGCAGATTTTTTTACATTAAACTAAGATGAAATTTGTTACCAAGAATTTTATGTTGTGGAAGGAGATGTACTACTCCTGCTAGACTAGCCTAATTCTCAGTATTAAAATAATCAGTTAAATTGAGACAAGTAGAGATAGTAGATGAAATGAAGAAAGGTACATACAGTTAAGCAATTTTTTATTGTTAAGAATATCAGTTTTACTAAGTCCATATATTTGAAAAGAAACTGGAAGCATTTTCAAAACATAAGTTGCTTGAAAGTAAATATAACACCATCTTTTAAAGAAATCTACTAAATGTTGAGAAAAACACTTTAAATTCTGAGAAGTTCACTGTTATCAACAGACTATCTTTTCAAACATATATATATATATATATATATATATATATACTTACTGAAATTAGCTTATGAATTTAAGAGGACAAATATTAAGTTTTCCTGAAAAAAACTTCTTATTAGTTCTTAGAGATTTTCTTTTCAATTTAATGTAATGTTAAGTGCCTGATAAACTCAAGTAGTAGCAGGAGACAAACATAACCCCACTTGAATACCACTCATACTAAAATGGAGCTTGTTATTGTTCCTAAATATTCAAGAAATATTTTCTAAGTGTGGTGCTAGATTCAACCTAGAAGAAATATCAATAGCATCAATGGCAGGATTTATTGGCCTCTCCTAATAGAACTCATCTTATTCAATTGAATAAATTAAATTTGAGATAATGAGTCTATGGGTCTTCTCTGATTCCCTATAATGATTTTGTGTTAAGAATATAATGCAAGATTGCCTCTATCTGTGCTGATAACATAAAATCTGGGTACATCTGGGTATTGAAGGCCCAACTACCAAAAGAAGTAGGTCATAATAGCTCGTATCAGTGGTACCAGTTTAGCCCCAAATTTTTGTTGATGTGTTACCAGGAGTAGCCTTAGCAAGTGATCAACTTTGAATCTAGAATGTTCTATACAGTTTTATGTGTTCATTGCTAAGTTTCATCTTGGTGGTATCGGGAACTTGTAGGGAAAAGATGACATACCCAAGATATGTGAGTGGACATACCCAAAGGGGCACAGACAGGGGTGCGTGAGACAGGTGAGAAATAAAAGGAAAGAGAAAGTAAACCTCTCTCTCTTAGATACTGGCCTCTGTGGGGACAATAGAGTGATTCTCAGTAAGTGAGAATTGAATTATATTCAATATAGTATCTTAGACATCCTTTTCAAGTAGCATTTATTTCCATCATCAGGAACTGAAGAATTCTTCAAAAGTTGGGGACGAGTGACAGGTCACATGTTATTAGGGAGTGTCCTAGAAAGGATATTTTGTGAGCCCAGTCTTTCCTTCCTACTTTCTTCTCTTCTCTTTTCTCTCACTACTTTCCTCTTTCTCTCTCTCCCCCTGAGGTGAGCTGCATTTTTCTTGTTATGTGTCACTACTGTGTCTAAGAGCCTTCCAGGTTGAGTAGCATAAAACCAACCAATAATAAACTAGAATCTTCCAAATCCTGAGCATGTTAGGGAAAACAAAGAAAGAATGTGCAGTGGTTTGAATAGGAATGGCCCCCATAAGCTTGTAGATTTGAATGCTTGGGGACCAGGGAGTGGCACTATTAGGAGGTATTGCCTTATTAGAGGAGTAGGTGCAGCTTTGTTGGAGCGAGTATGTCAGTGTGGGTCGATGGACTTTGAGGTTTCAAATGTTCAAGCCTGGCCCAATGGCTCTCTTTCTTCCTTCTGCTTAACTATCATGGTATAGACCTCTTGACTCTTACTCTAGCTCCATGTCTTCCTACATGCTGCCATGCTTCCTGCCATGACAATAATGGACTAAACCTCTTAACCTGTAAGCCAACCCCAGTTAAATGTTTTCCTTTATAAGAGTTGCCAAGGACATGGTGTTTCTTCACAGCAATAGAACTTTGACTAAGATAGAATGTTTAGATAATATTGATAAATTAGTTTCAGGGATTGATCAAACTCTTTCTTTGAGACAGATTTGAGCAAATTTTCAGAATTCATAATCCGTGAAGGAACACAGGAATATTAGAAAACACACTCAGCCAACTCTCAGAACTGTAAGAAATGAAATAGTATATCTCAAGACAACTATTTTAAGTGATTTATTGTACAGCACAACAAAATAGAAGAGGCACGTAGATCTGAAAACTTGGGTTAGAATTGGAAATAGAAACATAAGTTCACTAGTTTAGGGAAACATACTAAAAAATCAGTGGCATGGCACTTATCCTCAAGAAATACAATCAGAATTAGAAAATGGCTTGTAGTGCATAAGGGGAGCATGGAATGATGACACACCACTGTGATGCTAATTTTCCAAGGGGGAAGAAAAGAGTTCACTAATTTAAGATCAACTGTACTATTTATAATCTCTGTGGAAAAAAAGAGGAAGATAATGGAAGAGAAGGGAAGAGACGGGAGAGGATGAAAAGGAAGTTAACAGATAAGGGAGCGTTTTATCCAAAGGAGGACAGAGTGCATTCTAAAATTATGTTCTTTTCTTATTTATCAACTCTCAAATCAAAGACGTGAAAGAATTGCTTAGGAGAAGAATAAAGACAAATGACATGATGTGTTCAAAGAGCCAGAGAAAGGAGTCTATGCATAGAATATTTTGACTAATACATAGATATATACTGAAAGTGTTATCTTTTGGAAACAGAAATAAAAAATGAGTCACATTTTGAAGAGATTTCTGAAATGTTTTACAGTGTTTTTTTTTTTGTCTTGGGAAAATAGAACCAATCGAATAATTATGTGACACATAATAGATATGTATCAAAGTATTGTACTGAGTGACCATATTTACTATTCAGTAAAATGTTTGCCAATAAAGAGAAGCTTGTGAAAGTAATCTGGAAGCAAGAAAGCTGTTGAGAAGATGGATATAAAACATCAGATGAGACCTGATGGAAAATGGCTTGAAACAGTGATTTTTAAAGATGAAGATTATGTGCCAAATGATTAAAATCCAAGTGGTTTGAGATGGATTCGATCAGACAAAAGCTGTGAGAAAAGTCTGTAATCCACATTTGTCTCACATTTTCTAAAGGGCACACGGTGTGAGATGATCTGCAAAGCAATAGATGGTGCTGGCCATAGGGCAATTGAAAGTTATGTTTTCTTGTACAGGGCTGTTTTGCATCAAGAGAGTGATAGGTTATATATAGAACTCCCACAAAGGATAAAGTAGAAGTAGGTTTTAGGAAAAACTAATCAAGCCACATTTAAATAATTAAATTTAAGGTGATTCTAAGTACCTCTTTGCAGTAGATATATTGATCTAGAGTTCACCCATAATATTTGGGTTTTGTGTGTATTTAATGATCATCCAAATATATTTTGTAGCTGTAGTAAAGAGATACATAGGTGAGATTTTAGTCAAGAGATGCACACAAGGTTGAATAAGCAGACAGAAATCAATATAATCCCGAATAACGCAATGTACAGAATAAGCAAAGAAAATGCTGGCATTGTACAGAAGAAAAAGAGGCAGGGAAAAGTGTAATTGGTGTGATTCAGTAGACTACAGTGTCATAGGAACCAAAAGATGAGTGTGGTGGCTAGAGAGGTAGCTCAGTGGTTAACAGTACTGATTATTAATCTATAAGTCCCAAGTTCTATTCCCAGTATCCACGCAGTAGCTAAAAATCATGTGCGACTCCAGTTCTAGAGGATCCAACACCTTTTTCTGGATTCTAGAAGCAACAAACACATACTGTGCACAAACATACATGAAGGCAAAATTTCCATACACCTAAATAAAAATAAATGCAATTTTTAAAAAGCTAAGTAGGATTTTTAAAAAGCAAAGGGTAACTTTTGGAAATAGAAGTAATATTTAAGATTCACTATATTCAAAATATATCCTTGAATATCATTAAAGAAGAATGATTTATTTTTGTGAAATCACACTTTATACTGAACTTTACTCAAGAATATATGACAAAGGCAAGAGTTAAAAATAATGCTGTAGAGATTCTTTACAAATGTTGAACAATATAATAAGAATTGAGAAGTTTTGTGGAGATCTGTGAGTTTTAATAAGAATAACTTAAATGATGACTGAAACTTGTCAAAATGAAGCAGAAGATAAAGACAATATAAGGAAAAGTTAATAATAAATTAGTTCAAGATGGTCACTGACAAGGGAATAAAATATGAGGGAAACTCCTACTATTTTGGAAGGAATGAAAATAGATTCCAAAAAAGCACACCTCTTGTGACAACAGAGCAGGAAGGGATACATTAGAAACCAATTGTTTTTAAAGAACCCAAGGAAGTCTACTGATCACTTACATTCTTTTCCCATATGTGACACGATTTCAGTTAACCATTAAAAAAAAGATTTCAGATGTGTCAGAGATATGAAATACTGAGAAATAAACTTGTTAGACAATGAAAATAAATCTGAGTAGAGTCATTATGAAGGACTACTCAAACATCTTTTGTGCTAAGGACAATTTAGAATTGCTATCATGGTTCATGTGAGCTTTTCCCTATACTCATTGGCCCAGGAATCGCAGAGCAACAACAAGTATGCAGTCAAATGAATGAGTTCTCTCAAGTGTAATTTTCAGGAACCATGTAACAAACTACCTGACTACATTGTCAGGGAAGGACAGTTAGAGGAATTATAATGTCTAAACAAAATAAAGAGGTAATTTACATAAAGAAAACATAAATCAGTGGATCTTGACATTGTTTATTCGTAATTCTGTTCAAAGTGCTTGCAAAACAACTTGAGTTTGAGATTCTGAAGTTAAGAGGGAAAAAAGAGACTGGGAGGGAGGTTGCTCAACGGTTGAAGAACGTGTTCAAGCTCAAGGATCAGAGTTCAGATCCCCAGCACTCTCTTAAAATCTAGGCAGACATAGCCTACCTATATTCCCAGTCTTGGAAGGTAAATTCAAGGGATTCCTGGAAGACAGCAGTTCACTAGAGAAGCAATATTGGGTAGCTATGAGTTCAAGTGAAAGATCCTGCCTCAATACATAGGTCTAAAGCAGGGAGTGAAGGTATTAAGTGTCAGTCCTTGGCCCCCACCAACACATGTGTGTGAGCATCTGTCTATATATATGCAACTATATACATGTGAACACACATATACTCAGAAACAAAATGGTTCTGGAGTGTTGACAAAGTTCTGACTACAACACAAGGATGTGTGAATGGCAAATTATTTTAAAGTTAAAGAAATTTGAGTACAGGGCTCATAGAAGGGATTGAGCACTTGGGACACAAGATAGGATATAATGTGAAGGTCAAAGAATCAGAATGAACACTGTGGCAGAAATGAAGTAGAAAGAAATGGTATGAGTGACATAACCAAGTCCCCAGAGATATGACTTCTGGTGTGTGGGAAGAAGTAAAATATCCAGAGCTGATACAAGCTGGGGAAATTCCAATGCGGACCACAGCCACACTCAAGAATCAGTTTTACAGATGAGAAAATTTCTGACTCCCTACTTCCTGATCCAGAGATAGGAGATGTGTGGGAGTGTGAAAAATATCAGCAGGAGACTTGCTACAAATGTGCCTAAAGATGAAAAAAAAATTCAGTCAAGAGGTAGAAAAATGTCACAAGATAGGTTAAGAAAAAAGGATTTTTTGAAATTGATTTTTTTCATAAGTGAAGCATATTGGGGGCAGAACTGAAAGATCTGAGTAGAGACGATTGTGTGGGATTAGTCTATTGAACCAACTGGGTAGGATGCTGATGAGCATGGAGGAGAGGACAAATACCTGTTAGCAGGAGCTTCCGTCTTAGGCAAGAGCAAGGACCACAGGAGATAAAGAGATTAAGTGTGCAGATGTTTTCCACAATTAGATTCAGATATATTCAGATAATAAACAAGTGGTAAACAAGAGAGTGGAGTGCTCATCAGAGATTCAAGCCAAGATTTACACTGTCGCTTTAGCAAAGGTCAAATAGGAAAAAAAGAGTGCTATGATCAAATGTCAGAGGTCAAATAAAAAAGAGTAGCAGGCAGTTGAAGAGTCCTAGGAGAGAGGGGATTTTACTGCACTGTGACTGGGAAAAATCAGAGACCATCTGGAGAAATGGTGCCATAGAAAAAGTGGTTCCTGTAGAAACATGAGGATCTGCACTCAGACCAGCATCAAAGGTCAGCATAGACAGCCTGGTGTCCTGTAATCCCAGAACTGGAGAGACAGAAACAGGATGATTCTTGGAATTTTCTGGCTAACTGATGGCCTCCATACTTGGTGAGAGAACCTATCTCAAAAAGCAAGGCAGAGGGCAACTGAGAAAGACCTCTGATGTCAATCTCTGGCTTACACACAGACATTTAGCAACACTACACACAAATATAAGTAAGTAACTCAATAAATCAGAGACCCTATTTCCACAGAATGTTTTCTATTATCACACTGTTGTCAAAATACATTAATTCTAAATTTGAGGTTTGGTCTCAGGGACTGAGTGGAAAGGGATGGTCTGATAAACAGAAGGTAAAAATGAGTTTGTGGAAACGGGGCTGTTGTAGAGTATAGAGCATGCTCTGTTCTCAGTAAATCAGTCCGAAGAAGATACACAGCTTGCAACTAAGCCATTTCTATTGTCAAAACCTTTTTCTTACATTTATAAAAGTCATACTAGGGAAATCTTTGATACTTCATGAGTACAATAAACAAATAAATGTGTACATGCATTTTAACAGTTGTCTGAAATATAAATGACATCTGTGCTAGGACACAACAAAGTTTACAATTAATGCTAAGTTAACTTCATATGTAATTAGAAAACTATATGATTATGAAAAATCACAGTTTGAACAAAAAGTATCATGGATAAAAACAAGCTGATGATCTTTTGATCTTTCAACAATCTCCACAGTTACCACCTGCATTTTCAAGTGGGCCTGGATCACATGCTTTTGCAGGAAGGATTGATTTTGCTTCTTCGGTGTTTTAACTGAGAGCCTGTTCCTGTGTTGTTAAGTTACCAAGCCCACGTTCTATCAGGCTGGGAGCTGCCAGAAGCTGTGCTGCATGTGCTCCCTGCTTCCCACACTTAATAATGTTCATGAAGATGCTTCCACATTGCTATTCAAAACAATCTCAAAACGTTTCATTTGAATTTGGTTATATGTATGTATGTATGTATATGTATATACATATATACACACGTATACATACATATCTCCCAAATTATCTTTTATCCAAGATCTACTTTTTGCTCTGCAAATGAAGAGGCAGAAGCAACTCTCAAGATAATTAATGGACAAAACTTAATTTACTCAGGAAAGTACACTTGGGACAATATCAGGCTTATTCTGAAAATGGAACAAGACAGGGGGGAAAGCGTCAAAGACTGTAATTATCTGAAGCAAAGTTTGAGCAAACATTCTAACATACAACTGGAGTATAACTAAATCATCTTCAGAGTCTTACTTCAATGTAACAGCCATAAAATAAATAAAATATATAAGTGCTAAAATTAATTTACTTGCATCGATGACAAAATCTTTAGTTTTATTCAAAAAGCGGTAGGCATTTGGTTTTCCAGCCACATCTTTGTCGTAAGCACGGCTTAGTTCTGTTCCAGGAAGCTTATTTTCAGACAAATACACAGGGTTGATTAATATCTGAATTTCTGCCACAATATTGGAAAACAGTAAAGCTGTAACACAGAAAGACTTAAGTAGAACCAAGAACAATGAAACATTTTACCAACAATCCTTCCATAGGTTTGTGCTCATTAGTGACTACAGTTGATGAAAAGGTTGCATGTAAAAGCAAACTAGCATTGGTTTTCCCTTTAAATGACATTTAATACATTTTTTTCTGTTGGGTCTTGCATAATGAATTTTGACTGAAGACCAAGTTATTCTATCTTGAATTTATTTCTTCATTCAATCAGACTGTTGAACCATTACCAAGTACAATGACTATTCCTGTCCAAAGGAAATTTCACCAATTTCCTCCTTGTTATTGATCATTCAGTCAAGGAATTTTGTGTGTTGATTTCAACTACATTTTCATAGAAAGTTTATTACATTTTTATTTGAAACACCACTTCAAAACATCAGCACAGTGTCTTTTCTCATTTTATTTCCTTTATAATTTTCATCATCATGAAAAACGTCTCTGTTTTGCTTTAGATGTGACTCATTATAGATTCATAACTCCACACCTCCTCAGCAAAAAGCAGAAATAAAATATTATTAAACTCACTCCCAGACTGTGAAATACAACACAAAGGATAATATATGAGCATATATAGCACCCAAAGAAATAACCTGGTGTGAGAATTACTCATAAGCTTAAGAAATGCCTCATATGATAGCTATATAGTCGGTAAGATATTAAAAGCAAACAGTGCTACAAAAAGAGGATGCTGGATAATACCAAGTGGAGATGTGCTTGAAAGAACCCAGGGCCAATTAAGGTTTTTCTTCCTACTCATAGGGGTATACAACAATAAGAAGTCAAGGAATATTAACCGAAACAAAAAGGATCCAAGTACAGATCCAATCCTTCAATACCCACAGTCTTCTAAAACAAAAAATCAGCAAATGAAAACTCACCTCCACATATTAAGACAATCTTGATGGTATTCATACTCAGGCTGACTTCTCCAATGCCCACACCAAGGCCTACTAACAAATGTACAAAATTTTGCCTATTTATACTAATTCAGTCTTCCTACAAGTTAAACCATAAGGTCAATAAGCTGTTACTCAACCATGATGACAGTAGACTTGCTCTGTTTATCTGAGTGACTATGCACACAGGTAGTATTTCAGCTCTTGTGTTTGTTCCCAAACAAATCTGGAAAGATTATCTGCAAAGCTGGGATTGCTATGTGCCACCCATTTAATTTACACCTTTCCAGTTAAGGGTGGTTTCCTATGGAGAAGTCTTGGCAAGAAGTCAGGTGATCTCATTTTTAATCCTTCTTGATCTAGAAAGCCCATGCATTCTTTCGAACTCCGAGACATTGCAGCTGACATTGTCTGTACAATCACTTCTGTATACGGCTGTTGACAAGTTGCAAGGAGCAACAAGACCCACACTTTAGTAGCTCATAACCCAGTTATCATAAAGAACAGATAAAAGTAACTGTACCTTCCAGAGGGGAAATAGGGGTCAATAAAAAAGCATGCAAGTTCAGATCAGAAAGATGAGAATGATGACTACCTTATATGCCTAGAACCCTCATCCAGTGGCTGATGGAGGTAGAGGTAGACACCCACAGCTGGGAACCGAATTGAACTCCTGGAACCCAGTTGCAAAGAGGAGTGGTGACCAAAGGAATCAAGATCAGTCTGGTGAAATCCACAGAAGTAGCTGACTTAAACAAGGGGGAACACATGGACCTCAGACTGATGACTAAGGGTCAGCATGGAACTGATCCAGAAACCTCCCCTCCCCCACCGAACCTGGGTGTCAGAGAGGAGGCCTTGGCAATCTGTGGGACCTTGGAGAGTAGAGCAGTGTTTATTCCTGGCATACAGAGGGACTCTAAGAACCCATACCACATGGAGGAACGCTCTCTCAGCCTGGATACATGAGGGACAACCCAGGCCCTACCCGGGATGATGTGACAGACTCTGAAAATCCCTCATGGAAGCCCTTCCCCTCCTTGGGGAGTGTAGGGGGGATGGAGTGGGAGTGAGGGATTGGGAGGACTGGGGGGTAGGGCAGGAGAGGAGAGAGAGGGACTAAGAGTGACATGTGTAAAAAGCTAAATAAAAAAATATGAAAAAAGAAACACTTTTAAAGAGAGAAAAATCATCAGAGAGGTAGTACTTTTTTAAAGCGAAAGTCTCCTGACATCCTGTTAGAAAAAAGATTGCTTATCCTTCCCCGTATTTAAGTGTTTACATATTTTTAGTTATTCAGATGCAGTTTGACATTATTTAGAATTAACCACATGATCTAGAATAGATGTAAAAGAATCACATAATTATTTAAGTATTATATTACATTGTCACACATTTATGACCATAAACACATTGAAAATGATAGAAATATGGCATGCTAAAATGTTTTCTGGCTCTCAGCTATTGCAAATGATGTATTTATAATGTGAATTATTATTATTTTGTGGTATTAATGAGATGTGAAGTAAATAAAAAGCAAACAGTATTTCTGTAAAAACTCATTTCTATTTTGTACACTAACTATTCAAATAGAATTTTACTTACCATTTTATTAAGTACATATATATGTATATATGCCATATAGAATATAAAGATAATAAACCCCACTAGATTCCTTAAAATACTTACATTGAAACTTACTAAACATTCCAGTTAAAGGTATGATTTTTGTATTTAATATATCTTTTCTTTTCAACAATTTAATACATGTAAACAATCTACCTTGAATATATGAACACTGAAATGTCAGCTCCCCACTTTGGCTTGCCCTAAACACTTCCTGTAGATCCCTTCCCTGGATGATCTCTATTTTGTTTTCATAGCTCGCTGAGTTCAGTTAATGCTGACCGTTGGCATGCTTGGTGGCTTGATCTTGTGCAGGTAACCATAGCTGCAAATCCATGAGCAGAGCAGCCATGTCCAGAAGACAGCATGCTCTCCCCTATTGTCCAGTTCTTAGCATTATTTCCACTAATTCTTCCATAGTTCTCTCTGAGCCTGTGTTAGGGCAGGAATGATGATACAAGTGATCCATTTGGGGCTGAATGCACAATAGTCACTTATTTTCTGCATAAGTGACTGTTATTTTTATTGTTTAATGGTTTTACATGGTCATACTTAAAAATAAAATTCACATAATTGAGCTAGAAAGATGGCTTGCTGGCTAGAAATGCTCGCTGTGCAATAATGAGTACTAGACCTTGCATACCTATGCCCACGGCAAGCCAGGTGTCTGCACATTGATAACTTCAACTCCAAGCCGAGTACAGACATTGTGTGATTGTTGGAACTTCCAGGATTTCAGGCATGCCTAACAAAGGAGAGCCCTGGGTTCAGGCAGAGACCTTATTTGAAAGAATAGGCTGGAGGGATCATAAAGGAGTCATGCAATGATCTCTTCTGGCCTCCATTGGCAAACACAGATGTGCACACACACATGTACATTCACACAGACATTAAGTAATATTTAAAATTCATATTATTTATATACTTGCAAATTACTACAAACATGTCTCAGAAATACAGACATAATAGAAGAACTATAGTGTTTGCCACATAATAAACAAATATTCAAAATCACTGAATAACAACAGTTGTGAAACAGTGATAACGATTAAAATATACTAACATGTTCCATTCAAAATTTCCCTCCTGATATGCCAGAGATTGTCTAGAGTTCAAATTTGCTATGATAAACAAGGGAAGGCAGCCTTAAAATCCAAACCCCTAGTTGACAAGCTGTCTGCAATTAATAACTGCTGGAGAAAGGAAAATGATTGTTCTCTAATAGCATGTCACTGAGTACTTCATTCTCACTACAGGGCAGATTCTGTGACTAGGAAGCAGTCAGCCTATACAAAACAGAATCCGTGGTTGTTTCTGTCATGTTTTGGTTTTGTATCTCTCGACTGGTTACTTTTGTTTCTTTTGGCCACTTTTGTTATATATTTTTGTGTGAGGGGTAGAAAGAAGGGGAGTGTGACATTGGATGGATAGGGAGGTGGGGAAGATTTGGGGGAGTGGAGGAGTATGGTCAAAATATTTTGTATGTAAAACATCTAAGAAAAATCTAAAAATAGAATGAATACATATGTATATTTCACATATGACTTTCTGTAATATGAGTTTCTTTATATAAAAAAAGTTGCTTTCTTATTCCTTCTTACATGACACATTGTCTTTAAAGGACTGATATAGTATAGTTTCTTATTATCAGACACAAGGTATATTATGAAAAATAATAAAACATATTTTAAATTCATAAATAAGGATAGTTGCTTAATAATAAATAAATATAAGACTTGACATCTATGGGCATTGAAGAATTACCTATTTATTCTAATCTTTCTTCTTTTACTGTGGTGGTTTGCTTATGTGTGTGTTTCTGCCTTACATGGCACAAATTATAAGCATGTTGCTATTTTTCTTTGAGTGTTTATTGACTTCCTTTGCTTTAGCACTGGTTCTGGATTCAGATTTGCAGGATGTCATCTGTAGGTGCTTTATCACTGTTTCAGAACTAGGGGGCGATCCAAGTCCAAGTTTCTCTCCTCTGCACTATTGCTGCTTATTCAGGAACAAGCCAGGAAAGTTCCTGGAGAGGCTGTTCTCCTCTCACCAGCCTCACGTTGAGGAAAGAGTAATATAGATACCCCATGAATGTATGGGTCTGCAGTCACAGTGTAAGTTTCTCCCCGCCTTTGGGCAGTGATAGACTAACTCCAGACTCCAGCATCATGACTGTAGTTACTAGTGCCCCTCTGCTGTGTCTTACCATGTGCCACTACCTATAAAGATGAGCATGGCACTAGAGACACATTAAAACTTTCCCACTGAAGTTGACTTTTCTCCAAGACCCAGGCACAAGTTAGCTGGCTGGGGTAGAAATTCCATCAGTGGAGGCTATATGCCTTCCACAGGTACCTGAGCTGTGCTAGAGTCCCTGTGTTCAGACTGCCTCAAAGGGGTCACTCTCAGGATCTGCACAGGGTAAGGTTTTATTTACTTCATCATCACTACAGTCCGGTTTCCAACCTTGTGTTTAAAAATTTGTCCTGCCCTCTGTGAATGGGCTCTAGTATGCTGCTATGCTGCCAGAGGTTTGGGTAGTATTGATTAAGACTGCCCCTTCCCAACAGACTTTTGTTATCCTGAGTCTTATATGGAAAAAAAGAAGTGCATGTTTTCAGTGGTGTGCAAAACCCACAGTAACTTTAGTGGCAGACCAAAACAAATCCGTCCAACTGGGTGACTGATCTCTCTCTCTGACTGTTACTTGACCAGTTTTAGAGCTCTGTCTACATGCACTGGCATTATGGCAGCTGTATTGTTCAAGGATGGAGAAAACAAATGGAAACAGCCCTTGACCACTATAGCAAACCCTCCGCTAGATCAAGCATGATTCCTAGAGTCTCTAAGAACTGCCAATTCTTCAGAGGGAGACAGATGTATCACAAGCCTACTCCAAAGAGGGGAAAAAAACTAATTCATCCAAAACTACAATCAATTTTATCAATGTACAGGTTTCTGAGTGAAGTTATAGCAGCTCTTAAAAGTGTCATTTATGAGCTCTTGTCTAAATATTTCTTTTTCTATTGGAATTTGGATCTTTTCATGACAGCCTTGATTAGGAGTCTGTACCCCATTGCCTAACAAGGGGAAATTTCTTCCTGCTTTGAGACTCCAGACTGAAATTCCACTTAAGGTTACCAGCATTGAGTTGTAATAATTTCTTGATTTATTGAATAATTTAATACAGATGGTATTTCCATTTTTTGATTCAGAACCTCAGAATTAGCAGGTTGGTCGTTTGATAGTTTAATCAATTTGTTGATTCAGGCTTCCACTGACAACTAAGAAGAGTACAGGTAACTCTGTTTGTCCTAATACTATAAATACTTAGAAACATTGTCATACTTCAACCAGGACACCAAATTTTCCATGGTAAAAAAGAATAAAGTTGCAACAGACTTGCATATGGCACTAGCAGTGAGCTGACACTTGACTCATATTAACTATCAAGGAGCAGTTGTCGGAAATGCTTGTATATGAAGTCTTCTATGGGGTTTGGGATACATTAGTGTTAGCGCAGTTAAGTAATCTTCTATGTCCATTATCCTGCACAGATTCACTGTGGCTGAGATACTAGAAGACAGTTCTCCATAGACTTCTGACATGTCTACTAATCTTGTGAACTTAGTACCTGACCACATTGGTTGTAAGTTCTTTGAAGACAGTCTTGTAGGACAATCTTAAAAGATGCAGTGTTATCCCCTGGATGGGGTGGGAGGGTGGAGTTGTTCAGCGGCCAGAATAGGAAAGTCTCCCACATATGTAACAGTCATACAAAGGACACACTTGGGTCCTTTGTAAAATCAGGCTCCCTATGCTCTCACCACAGCATAGGCGTATATCACTTGGCCTTCTTTGTCTTGCTTTCAGGGACATGGGACATAACCTGGGAATCAACATAAATCTGACATTATCACTTCTGAAGTTTCCATCAGAAACAATGTCCTTTGTACATGACTCAAGAATCTCCTTCTAATACATGAGGAAATCTAAGTTCTCAGCTGGAAAACAAGACAAAATATCAGACCCTACGTGAGGTTTACCAAGAAGATTCCAATATATGTTTTCAGTTGCAAGAACCTTTTATCTTAGCACAAAACATAAATCCAGTTCAAAACTTGTAGAAATATTTACAATGTAGTTAGGGTTTATGCTCATTTAGTAAAGTGGAGGCTGAATGCTCTCCTCCAAGATCTATGACTTCAATAGTCATCGGTAGTTGGTTAGGTTTCCAGTAACACATACAATTTCCTTCTTGTTTAACTGGCTGTGATTCCAACTAGAGAGCTGGTGGTGAACACCAATTGGTTATTCAATACCTAAGAGATGGCCCTGAAAACCAACATACAAGTAACATTATACAGAATGAGCAGGTTATGTATATGTATTTAGGGATATGTATGTATGTATGTATGGAGGAAGGGAGAGAGAGGGAAGGAGGTAACCAAAATTAATGGAAAAAAATCTAAGAATTTGAAAGACAGCAAGGTGGATATATGGGAGACTTTGGAGGGAGGAAATAGAAGGGGAAAGAAAGAAATCATATTAAAATCTCAAAAAACTTAAAAGAAAAATTTAAATTTAGAAAGAAAAATATCAGATGTGTGTCAAGTCATCATGATAAAATACTATGCATACCAATATGTGCCAAATGTTCATTGAGGTAGCAAAGCAACAAATATGTAATTTAAAGTACCTGAGTCTAATACACTGTTTCATCATGAGCTTATTGTTTAATCTCCCTTTACATACATTTTTTTCCTTTATAATATCATGGCCTCGGAACTCATATGAAGAAAATAGGAAATCATAAAAAAAAACTATCACAGTACAAAGCATGCAAGAATTATTCTACAAACATTTGCTATTGTTTTGGAGTTACTTAGGGTATCTCATTAAATACCTCATGTTCTATAACACAGTTTTGTATTCCTTCATACTGTATACCCCATGAGATCATGATTTAAATATTTTCAGAAGTAACCTACCCTTATCTAAGCTCTGTTCTGTATCAACAATAGCAGTGAGATTTCTATGTAATGTTATAAAGCTTCCATAAAGAATGAACAGCTCTTTATATATGTACCTGCAGGGACCTCTTATGGACAACTGGTAACTGTAGATGGCTGCCTGCACAGTGCAATCCACTTTCTATACCCACCATCAAACAGTTCTAATGTGAAAACCAGATTATGCTGCTTTTCCATTAAAATATTCTTCCTGTAAAACACTCCAAAAACCTCAGAATGTAGACTTCTGCTCTTCACTCTTCTTCTTTTCCCTTCCCAGGCACAATGCATGCAGCAAAATCTGATTTGGGGGGGGGTTGGTGCTCAATCACAGGCA